AGAGACCTAACCCAACCGTAACAGTAATGACTGTGTTTAAGCTCAGACTGTGAGAAGAGCTTTAATGTGATGATCTGAAAAGAGTTTTATGTTTATGGACGTCCAGGTTGTATTTTTTTTTTTTTTTACACGTTGTTAAAAGGTTTTGTCTGCGTTATAAATTAAACTCCAGATAAAGCCAGTCTGATGGAGGACGGGGGTTTGTACTGGAGAGTGAGAGTATATTTCTTGCTTGTTGTGGTAATAGAAACGGGCTAATTATCTCCCACTCAATTACAAATATTGATCAGCCGCTTGGCTCCTGCTGCTGGAATTACACTAATGGTTTAAATCCGGTCCAACAAGAGACATAAATCCGACTGCGAGAGTTAAAGACTGAAGAGCTGCCAGGACACTGCAGACACTGACAAACTGAACACCTGGATGCACCTGAAGAACAGGTGTTCAAGACAAAACAAAACAAAAACTCTGTACAGTGTCTGTTGTAAAACAGAACTAGCTTAGCGCGGTGACATCTGTGAAAGGCTAGCTAGTTAGCAGCTACAAATCATTGTCTATCCACAAAAAACCCAGCGTGTTGTGTTCAGGTCCCGTTGGAGCTGTTAGCTTCTTCTAGTCAGGATAAAATGAGGATGAAGAGTGGTTCAGATGATGCCACAGTTGGTTGTGGAGTGAAGAGGTCTCACGCGACTCCTCTAGCAGAGCCGTTCTGCTGTCGGACAGATTTGACATGTTGAGTCTCGACAGCCTTGAAAAGACGGAAAGATTTGGTGCTGAGAACAGCAGATATCAGAGAGTGGAACTGATTCAGCTCTTTTATTTCTCATTTTCCTGCTCGCCGTCATGAACACTGACTGAACTCACACTTTACATCCATTTATACACACAGCTGTAGTTAGAGAAATCAACTCAGATCAGATGATTTAGTAATTAATGACTTAACAATGTGTTCAAATGTCCATCTTTACGGTAAATTTTATTGGTATAGCTCCAGATCACAACAGAAGTTATCCCGGGACACTTTTCACAGACTGAACTGTTTATAATTAGATCCATTTGTAATGAAACAGAAAGAAGAAACTACTCACAAAAACTGGAACCAGTTTTTATGACGTTTATGAGGTTTCCCACACATGGACTATAACAGAGCAGCCAGTATTGATTACAGCTTGTTCACACTGCACAAATCTGTGTGCCGGAACATCTTAATTTTTAATTCGGCACCCATGTTAACAGATTAGAGGGGTCACACTGTGCGTCTCAAAGACACTTCACTAGAGAGTCGAGGTCTTGTCTATTTTTACCGTTAAAATGGTGAGCAGGGATGTAATAAACTATGGAGTCCACTAAAGCCTACAAACGACCGACACCCACCACAACACAGAGTCCAACACAAAGTCCAAAGTCAAAGCTAACATTACTGTTAACGTTAGCTTGCTTGGCAACAAAGCCAATGATGTTTCTATTTTTGTTCAATTTATGACATAAAACTTCAATATGCATTAATATTCACTGAAAATATTGTGTTTTATGTTCC